AGACGGACTTACCCGAAATTTTTTTATTCAAAAAATAAAACAACAGCCGTAATTGTAAAACCAGTCGACGGACGCGTCTTCGTTATAATTGCAAAACTTTTAATAACCGAAACGAATGATTATTAACCGTCTGCGACTATTAAACGAAACCAATATATTTATATATACAAGACTCTGCGCCGTACCAGACTTGGGGGGTGCACAAAATAATTAGAAATTGACAACGACGACGGTATCATAATGTGAATAACAACGCAACGGTTCACGGCAAAGTCGAAATGAAGTAAACAGAATGAAGTATGACATTATTATGTGTGCGTGCGTCCCATAAATCGAATTCCGTTTCCTCTCTTACATTGTGTATATTATACGCCGTAAGTCGTTAATAATGCGAAGAGCTAAACAAAATAAAGCGACGCATAAAACGTACAAGGCACAAGCGCGGAGACAATAACTTAAGTCTAAATCTTGGAAATCGGAGAAAGGGGCTTGGTTATGTTATGCGGTTTTTTTTTATTCTTTTGCTTGGCTGTATTTTTATGCACGCCAATCGATCGCGGTCAAGAGAAAACAGTGACTTTGGGAGTACAAAAGTTGTGTTTGTTTGTTGGCTTTTTTTTATTCTTCTAGAATAACGCACAGACGGAAAACATATTTCGACAGTACTCGGCTTTTGTCTGGCAAGAATATCGCCAAGGAAAACCCGTCACCGAGTGAGTTGAATGCCTCTGTCTGGTGTGCCACAAAGAGCAAGAAGAACCCGTTTGGAAATGATTTTGTTTTGTGTAAAAAGTCGTTGATACTACAACGCCTATCAGTGACAAACGAGGGAATTCATCGTGCAACGGATCTGGTAACTGTTATATTGTTTAGATGATAAAAGCAACCTATATGGATAAAAAACATTATATTAGGTGTATGATTCTGCATGACAACTAAGTGGCCAAAAAAAAAAAAAAACAACTAAAACATCTTATGGACAATAGTACAATAACGGTATAACTAATATATGAATAATAACACATGTAGGTATATAAAGAAAGTATTTTCTAAAAACGTTGAATCGTGGATTTGATTTTAGATTTAATAAATTCCCCATCGGCTGTAATTTAACAGGACTAGATTAATTAATTTTATACTGCAGTCGAATTTACATTATATCGAATATTTAAGTGGAAAAAATATGTCGGTTTTGGGGGTGTTTTGATTGGTATAGTGGTGAGTTCGTTAACCTTTTGGCCTTAGAAAGTTACTCTAGTCGACGATTATAGCTGGCGTTAGGTATATAAAACAACAATACCAATCTAAAGGTTAAAAAGTTATCGGGAGTCCAGCCGTCAAGTCAAAAAAATGACCAACACGTTTTTTCATTCAATGTTGAAGCTAGCTAAAATAAGTAATATTATTCCGACAATGTTTGTTTTTTTTTTTATAGAAACATATTATACAATTTAGACTGACAGATTTTTTTGAATTTCAGGAGAGAGGTGCAAGAACTAAAAAAAAATATAAACTTACTGATAAAAAAAACACAAAAGCTGGTTTAACGGGTTATCGTAGGTCGGGCAAAAATGAAAACATAAGTAATATTATTATTGCGAATCTTTATATTATTCATTTACATCAGACCTAGAAGAAAATAGGTTATTAAAAGAAAAACACAAGTGTTAGAACTCATAATTTCATTGATTGTGTATAGACTGTTTCATAGATCTTGATAATGATAAAACAAATTATTGCGTACAACTTGCATAATATTGCGTACATTTTTATTAAAATAGCTTAGTTGTTTAGAGTGGAACATATTTTCATTGACGATATTCTACAAAGCAGTTTAGAGGTCGTTGATTTGTGTTGAGATTCGGTGGAAAATATTTTTAACACTATATTTGTTTGTTGTTTCGAAAATAGTTTTACATGATAGTTTTAATAATTATACATGTATTAATTTGTACATGATAGTTCATGTACAATTTTATAAAATGTATTATACTTGAAAAAATTGTTATTAAAGCAATTATATCATTGTGTTGTCAACGTTTGATTTTCTGGCAAAACCATATTATGTAAAAATATTGTTGTAATAAATTGTTTAAACGAATAATAATTGTTCAATAATAAAAAATGTACAATTGCTTTGTGAGTTTTACAGTTTTTTTTTACAGGTTTTACAGGTTTGGTTGACGTTAAACCTTTTTTTTTTTAATTTTATACTCCATGTGTCTCCTAGTGGCTTACGACGGTTGTCATGTCGTATACTTTTTCCATTGACGGTAATTCTCAGCGACGTCAAAGATGAAGTATTGCCCGGCAAATTGATTGTAACGCGCCGGCAAGTGTGTAGTTAGCTTTACGGAATACCGTCGGTGTTCGAAAGAACTTAACCTAAATAGTACATATATACCTAAATATAACGCGAAATGTACAGCCCATTTATTAAATAATATGCAAGAGTTCTGTCTGGCGATAAATTTGAACCAAACCGAGTGGAGTTATTCCCTGGGCCGCAGAGGTGACGTTTTTAGCATATAATATTACAGCGGTGTAAAATATGGGAAAAGTACTACTGCTATCTTTGGATTTGGTGCCCTTAATAAATTATCACGAATAATATTTTGTTAATATACAGCCAGCTGTATTTATCGGTTTTGACAATCGCGTGTCTTGTTCTTTTGTGGTTAATTTGAAGGGGAAAAAAATAATACCGACGCAAAACGATTAATCGAATGAACGAAACTAATCCAATTGCCGCCGACAAGTCAAACATAAGACCTAAAAGTCGAGTAGTCAAACGAATCGATGGCTCGAACGAAAACCTTCTTAACGTTATTAGAAATAGACCTTTTTATTATCAAATATTATTGGGTAAGTATAAATCGTTGTTGGCAGTTTCTAAACGTTTATATACAAAAATATTAACAGTATAGAAAACAATTACCACCCGAGCAAGATCTCATTATCGCGTGTGTGTGTTGAGTTGAGTTGCTACTGACAATAATAATCATAATAATAGCTGTTATAAAACAATTTACAAAGGCGTTGTCAAAGTATTAGTGTGAAAAACCAAACAAAGCGAACGTTTTCAAACGTGCCATAATCGCAACTAATAATTATTCCATAATTTGACCGGTTTCCGCATCAAAGCGACAAAACTATCAACATCATTACTATAACGCAGAACTAATGTTGAACACAATAACTATAATAATAATTGACAAGGATTTAAGTATGAAAATTACATTATTACATATAATATTTGCTGAAGTAAAATTGTACACAATTTATTCCACATTTTATAGCGTGTTTTATTTGATTGTAACAAAGTAGGTTTTTTGAGAAAAAAATTTAATTTTTTTTTGTTTTTCTCTTTTTGAAGTATTGTAAAAACATATTTTATATTTTTTTATAAGAACCTAACAAATTTTCTAATTGCCAAATCAAAAATCGGCCTTTTAGCTAGAAAAAATAGTGAACTTAACATAAAAAAAAAAAAAAATTGAAATCCGACCAATATATACGCCAGAAAATGATTCTCTACGAAAATCATATCTTATCAAACTTTTGCTATAACTCGGAAAAAAATAACTATAAGGTTTCATACTTAGAAAAGCTCAGTATTTTTTTTATCTGTAAATTGAGGTGTCTAGTTTCTAAACTAGCTAAAAGGCTAATTTTTCAAAACGGTTTGGTTAGGTTAGGTTAGGTTTCAAAAACAGCCAATGGACGAAATTGACAACAAAACCAGCTATGTCAAACATATAAATCTATTTAACTTTTTTACTACTATTTGTTAGCAAGATATCTGCATACACAACGTGTATACACTTATTATAAAATCATAGAGTGAAATTTTAACCTTATTTTGGTTTTTGAAAAATTGCTTGGTTGGATTTGAAAATAGACTCCTCTATTTGTCGTCATATTTGAAAAATATGGATTTTCGATTTTTGTCAAATATTTAATAATTTAGACATATTAACAATTATTGACAATGTTTGATAATTGCCTAATCTTTGCCCCTTAATAAGTAGACTTTTCCGTTCAACCTCGCAATAAATTATTATTATTTGTTGGAATAAAATTCATTGTGGGCTGTATTAATAAGAATCGGTCTCCAGGCTCTACGCATAGGCAAATCGTGCGGCTTCCGTGCCGCAGTGTTGTGTGGAACGGTTTGTTTTCCGGAAAAATCAAAACCGTTGTGTGCATATTTTACTGTGGTAAATATATATATATAAATATTTTGTACGGTATTAAGAGACGGGCCAGAAGTCGTTGTGCGGAATCATAAATCTCCGAAGAACTATCGGCGGAGTTATGACTGGTGACATGACGTGTATTAATTGTCGGAAACCAAGATGTTTTCGACGTGTACGCCTTTAAAAAAATAAAATAAAAATAGAAATAATGTTTTCTTCTCGTTGTAGCGACCGACGGAAAAGCTTTCTATCCCCGCGCCGGCGATGGTGACAACAGCGAGGGAGAGGCTGACGCAACAAAACATTAACGGGGTGTTCCCGCACATAGCAGTTGTTCTGACAGCAGTCACTGCTTCATTTATTATTCTACAGGACAAATTACTGAGATTCTCGAAAGTCTAATGCACAGATCTTGCACTCGAAACCCGATTCTTCGACAGACATGAATTTCACAGCAAAAAAAAGAAAACCTCGTCTGTCTTGCCGCAGTTACCGCACGAGATTGAACACACACGTTATGTAATTATTATTACAACCGACACAACATTAGTAGTGTATAATACGTATAAGGTCATCGAATCGCATTGAATCGCAATTTAATAAACGTCCGGCAATGTATAATAATAATATGTAGCTCTGCGGATTTCCGGTTCTCCAATTGGATTTTGACGATCGGATGGCTCCACAGGAAGTGGACACAATTTATGGCAAAGATAATCGATTGCGGCCGACTTAAGGCTATAATATAGTATCTACCCGCTTATAAGTTATATTTTGTACAGTCTATAGAAAAACACTCACCACTTCGGTTTTCACTGTCCGCCGGTTTCATCTGGATCGGATGGTGCATCTGAAACAATAACAGGAAATCGATTTATATACCTTCTTAAACAGTAACTGTATTTTCGTTGTAAGAGTACACCTCTCGTAGAACAAAGAAATTATTCTCTGTACCTAATCTATATAATAACTCATATTGTGTTGTTTTTTTTAACTAAATTACAATAGTTATAAGACCGGGCTATTTGTAAAGAGTCGCATTAATGATACGGCTAATGCTCAACCCCGAGGAATTTATTTAAAGCGCCTACGTACGAGTTTTGAAATGATTTGCTTCCCCTTTGTTTTATATGGTAGTGTTATTTTTTCAACCGCTGCCAACATTAGTCTTCTCTGTCTATATCCTTGCGGGGGTATATTATTATAATAACCCCACAGAGATTACACAGTTCTCCTAACTACCACAAAGACAAATATGTTGTTGTATCGCACGATCAAATACGCACCGGGGTCAGAGTTTATTTTTGTTTTTTGCACATAAAAAGTTATATGCTATAAAACTCCATTATAAAAAAAAACGACTCATTAAGCTTCGGTTGAACATTATCTAAATGCTAAAGTCGTTTACGTTTCACAAAACCTACATTTCCAGAGCGGGATATCATTCCACGTTTGTCAGAATATGTTATGAGTTATGTTTGATCTTTTAAGTTTAGGAATCAATACTCAGCGCTTTATGTTTGTAATGGTTGACACAAATCGAGAAAATAAGGTTCGAGGAGAAGTCCCTTTGCAACATCTTCAAGCTGTCAAAAATAAGGGTTTTGTTACTCAATTTTTTTAAGTACTCAAAAAGAGTTTTTAAGAAACTTTAAATTCCCCAAGAACCTCTAAATCTGCCTCGACGTACTATCGTTATACTCGAGACTATTGTTTTGATACAAAGAAAAACTCAGTCAAGGTATCTGTCGTATGATTGATTTTTTTGAAAATTATTTATTTATTGACCCGGCGGCGGGTCTAAAAACAATGCAGGTCATTTCTCCTGGGAACCGTATCTATATGGACTACTAATATTATTTTTTTTTTTTAAAGGAATGAGAAAAAAATGTAACATGTGCCACCGAGTCTGGCGGAATTCTCAGAGGAGTAGAACACCCACACTGTAGGGAAAAAGGCAGTTGTAAAGAAAAGCTAACAGACGGTTTAATAATTGAATTGCGACAGGGTAATAAGAAGACATAAAAGAAACGTATGATACAAAAAAAAAAAGTCAAGTAAGAATTTAGATAATGTGAAAATAGTAGTCGGAATAGTATGTATGCGATTGATTTCAATAATATATTAAATGCATTAGAACGTAATGAAATCGGTAGTCGGTACAAACAACAAAATCAATGTAAGAAATTTAAATAATTAGCTATATTTTAATCAGAAATTAGCGAAAAGTATCAAAACGTCAACGGGTGAGTTTTAATCATATATAGGTTAATCGATTATTATCTAAATTATTAATATCTATTAATAATTTAGACAGATACGTTCCAAAAACTTGAGCCATGTTAAACGTTTCGACAATTTTATGTCAATAGAACTATTCCGTTAAAATCAGAGTTGGACATAGTTGGGCGCCTAACATACCAAGAGGAAACGTCTATAACACTGTATTAGTTACCATACTTATCAATATGTCCGTTTATTACTTCAACATTGTCAAATATTCATGATGGATGACGTATCTAGTACACTTGTTTGACAGATAACAATGTAAGAGAACACACAATAATAATTATACGTCCGCGAGACTGTGTTTTGTTTAATTCGTCTTCTTATAAAGTGAAAGATATACCTATGTGTATACGTTGTAATGCCACGATAGTAGTTAGGTACCTATGTCAAGTTGAGATTATCCTTGGCGGAACGATGAATTCTTCAGAAATACATGCGTTGTACATTGTGGGAAAGCGGGTTGGACGGTTTCGTACGGTTATTAGATGACAAGGATATTGCGTCAGAGGGACGAGGGATAAAACGGTGTACGGTACGGCCGTAATACGCCGTAATATGAATCAACAACATTTTTCCCCTCTTTGAATAATTTCGAGAAATAATACTCGGCTTACTGCAAACGGTTTGCGTTTAAATACGATTTTAATAACACATTTTTACCGTAAATTCTTCTTTATGTTTCATTGTGTTCGCTTTTTTTTTAAACGCTTGGCCGGAGGTTTGTTCTGTTGGCGGCAGAAGATAAAATACAATTATATAAAAATACTAGTTCAGCGGTGGCACGTGGTTAAACGATGAGTTCGCATCGTTTAACCACCTACGCAAATGTACACAAATCCCTAGACTTTTTAAAGAAATCACAGCTAACCTCAGTTGGTCAAGGAGCGGTCACTTGTAACAAGTTATAAATTATAATACTCCAACTACAACAAAAAATCCAAAGACTCGTCCGGGAACATCCCGAGACTACAAATAGGCAAGAGAGGTGAACATTTTCTTATAGAATATTCACATAGCAAAACTAGGCATATGTGTGTTTGGTACTATTCACAAACCGTTATAAATTGTATGATAATTTTCAAGCTTTTGTATTAAATATTAGGATTTAACTATAAACTACTCATCTTTTTGAAATATTATATAATATTAAGTATTTTCGTTCTCAGATTTTTACCAAAATGTGTATACTGTGTCTAATTGTATTTATGGGAGGGGAATAGAAAGATAATATAAGTCTTAGATAATTAGGCTGTCGTTTAATTATAGCATACATAATAAATCTGTAAAAAAAATATGAATTTTGTTATGTAATTTTATTGAAGTAACGCCATGGCGGACTTAAATTGATTTAGGCATTTTTTTCTCGATTTAAGTAGTAGGAGTGGACGTTTTTAACTTAAAACGCCTCACAATGGTTTTTGATGGAAAGAACAGATGAACAAGTATGACTAGGTCAGTAATTTTGAAAGTAAAATAGATATATCCTATTTTGTTTTACTTCTAACGTCACCATTAGGGCATTTGCAGTGCATGTGATATCCATGGCATTGGAATGTAGTATTACGGCTAACAGTCTTTTCCCGTATTGTCTCGAAAGACCTTTGACGGAAAAAGACAGATAGTGTAATTTTTTTTTTTATATAAGACAAAACGAGAAAGAATAAAACGTCGATGTATCAATTGACAATAGAAGCGAACATTTATTTCGTTGACCTAGATTTTTTTTTTTAAATCGGAATTTACTTGAAATAGTAGAGTGCGTTTATACGTTATCGTTGCAAATACATCATTGTGTTATACCAAAACCGTGGTGTTTGATGATATTTGATTTGATTTTATGCAAAAGGTATTATAGAAAAAATCCTCACCTCGATAAATTTAATTTGTGACAAAATTTTATTCGCCTATACCACACGACATGACGTAGGTACAACGCTATGCAGAAATATATTTATTTATAAAATTATGAACACAAGACAAAGCGCTTCAACACATTAATAGGTCAAACTATTTATACGACGGCAACAAACTCCATGTAGATGTAAAAATGTAATGCGCTACGACGTGCAGTTTAACCGCACAGCAATTTAAGTATGATGACGTCGGTCGTTAAGCGGTCGTGGTTGATTATAATATTATGTACACTGAGGTCCTCCTAAAACTTGTTACTGGAATACAACATTATTGCGAGGTTTTCTTTTTTCTATGAAGAAAATGCAAATATCATCCTCCCTATCTCTAGAATGGTTTACTCTGCATTTAGGAAGTACTCCGCGACCAGCACTTAGGGTTTGATGGATGAGGTTAAAGAGTAGAATCACTATAAAACACACAGAATAAACCAGGCATAGAACAACCACAGGGTAAAACCGGTGCAAATAAAATGTAACAGATGTAGATCGATCTTTTTTCTTATCTTAACCTCACTCTCATCGGTTTGCCGGATTTTTGGAATTTTCACACTAGCATAAGCAAGTGTACTTAACGGTAACTTTTCGATGTCCCCGCGTTTTCTCTGAAAGTTCTCTCACCCGTCCCTCCGCAGGTGTAATTAACTTGTTATTAATTGATTTTAAACGGCGCGCAATTAACGGCCACGGAGACACACAAAAGAATTTTACTTCCGGTAGGGATCTTACACGGTGGATCGTTGGAAGCATCAAGCACGACCGGCCGCGGTGGCTGGTAAATAATTATATGATAAACAAACAATGCACCGCACAAAGGCTCGCAAAGTCGTCTTTCTTTGGGGAAAACACACGGCGGAAGCAATAAAATAAAGGGCACGGGTACAATTGGATTCCAAAGTAAAAATAATGCGCAAGAAATGCTTACCCCCGGTAACGTCTTGATGTTGTGTAAAGCGTTTTGTGCGTCCAAGGCGGCTTTCCGCGTGAAATACGTGACGAAACAACATCCTGAAAGAAAAAAAACAATTATTGAATTATTGCTGTGAGGCGGTAATAGGTGAATTTATGGGCTTAAGCTCTATAAATCGCTGTCGAACCGCCGGCGCTACCAACGGTGGCCATAGCGCATTATATGGCGGCCGTGCATTATTTCTAGACAGCTGATAATTTTAGTGTTGTTTTCCACGTGGGTTCGCGTTAATAAAATAAAGTACCGACGCGAGGGTCGGTAATATTTGCAAACTCTATACGACATCCGGCGGTCTTTGATAAAAGTCATCGGTCACACACAGCCGAGGTGCTCTATATGCTCTATACACGCCGAGAGACGTTGTCGAGAAATATTCGAATGGATAAATCTTCAAAACGTTTTCCGAATCGCTCTTCCTTCCGTCCGGACGACAAACTCCTCTGAAATTCTCTCTGGCCGTCGTTCCCGGTAAATGCATTTGTTTTCCTTCGTCTCGCCTCGTTTGGTTCTTCTCCCTGACCACCGAGTAACCTCTCTCTATACCTCCTGACCGCAGACCACCGAACTGTGACGTCGCCTTTACGTGGTCAACTGACTTTTCCCTAAAATCGCTTTTGTCCGTGTAACCTCTAACCGAGTAGAAATCATAGCACGTTCCCGGCGGTAACGATTCCCAGCATTGTAAAAGTCAACGTCAATAATATTATTATACACTAACAAATACACGGGGCATAGTGTATGCAAAATGGGTACACAGATGCATTCTGTATTCCTACGGTACATCAATCATACAGTGTACTCCATAAAATATACTACAATGAATGGGGTAGCTCGTTATTTGTACATAACATATTGAAATGTCCGATCCACACACCAAGGCAACATTCGACAGACAGTTATAGAACATGTTTCGCTTTTTATCGAAATACGGAAACTAAAAGTAAGTAACACATTGCAACACAGTAAGTTACTGAGAGTAGTGTGCACTGTGAACCGGGCCACAATACGTTTGTATTCATTCCTTAATAATCACCGTTTGCACCAAAACCCTAATAAAAAAAAAAAAAAAAAACAGTTCTTAGGTGTGTATATTTATAACCATTTTAACTTGAACGAATACACATTACACAATATATCACTGTAAAGTATACAATTTAATTGTTTAAAAAAATGTCAAGACATTTTATCTTGTAAAACTGGATGTGTTATTTTTTTAAATTTTAGTTATGGTTAAAAAAAAGATTACCAAATAATGTCATTTGATAATCATGGCGATATTGTATGCGATTATTATTTGTAATCTTTTTTTAAGTCACCGATTTAATAGATAAAAAACTTAAGCCTAGTAAACACGATGATAATATATGTGAAAAAAAAAGCCGAAATACTTTTTCATATTTCGTACATATATCGGAGATAAGATAAATGTCTCTAACAAGTGTTCGGCGAAATTGAAACGTCTATATCGGAAGACTCCATATTTGTAAACCACCCTCCCCCCCCAACCATTTGATGACAACCCATTTAGAACAAGTGCGTGTCGTTTGCGTATAAATTTGCAAAATTATTCTGCTTATCGGATTAAAAAATCAAAAAAGTATACCGTCTTGAAAAAGTCTTTGACGCAGTGTGTGTATCTTTTCTGCGCGACAGTGGATTTTCACATTACATATAATATTATATATATATAGGTATTATAATATAAAGGTTAGATTGATGGGTGCTTTGAGCGTGACAAAGTCAAATCGAATCTTTGGAATAATTCCGATATTACATAAAAGTAGAGACTGAAGAGTATAAAAAATAAAAGCCTTTTGAAAAATCGTATTCCCCCACCCCCACTCCGGTCGGACCACCTCGCGCGTATACCTCTGCTGTTGCCGAGGTAACCGGTGCGGTGTACGGTGTGATTTATGAAGTCAAGGTTCGACAATGTTCTCCGGATACACATGGTTGTTTTACACACACACACACACACGTGGCCGGGACCTAGTTTGAAAAAGAAAGATACGCCAAGATGGCGGAGGAGGGTGATCCAGAAGGGGAAGTAGTGAAAGAAAAACTATATACGAATTCGGTGCATTTCCATATTACTCTCTCAACGTACGTCCCCTTCGCTTCTGTGTGCGTTGAATAATGGACAAATATCGGGCAACGTGTTCGAATTAATTAATCTCCGTTAGAAATACTCACAATAGCCGGTAATATACTGTACCCAAGTACACGCGAGTATTTGTAGTTAAGTGTAAAAAGCCAACCTAACCTACCCGTTGCGCGGCGAGCGTTCGATGGAAATTTGACGGGCGAAAATATGTTGTTATGTACCAGAGATAACCTTTGGAGAGATGACTTAAAGCCCCAGGGAAAAAATCCAATTACAGTTGAACGTTTTTTTTTTCGATTTAGCAAAAATCGTCCACAATCGATTCGACGAATTTCAACTCGACTGAATTGCAATAATTGTCTCGCTTAAAAGATTTGGATATTTTAAATAAAAATTCCACTGTTAAAATATCCGCATTTGCACGACATAAATTAAAAATTTTAATGTAGTTCAATATTAATGAAATTAAGAACACTACTTACATTTTAAGTACAGTTGGTGCAGACGGTCATAAATTGCATTAATTATTTAAAGTTACTTTTGCACCAATGCAAACCGGAAAAAGTATTGTTTTTACGTTGAAGTAATTTTATTTAAATTTTAACATTGGAAAATTTCACATTTGAAAATCTGTGTAATGTCTAACAAATTTTCAATAATATTTTATAAAAAATATATGGTGACTAAAAAATGGAAACTACATGTATTCCTCGGGTATGTGGACAATTTCAGTATTACATTATAAGCCTATTTTAATGAATAGATTCTAACTCTTGCTAATTCGTTCGCCATTGTTTAATAACTGCGATTGGTTTTCTTCAAAGACCAACAAGGTTGTAGTACTAATCGACTACACTGTAAAGATAAACAACCGTAATTTGATTGCTGTTTGCCAAACCGTTTAAACACACTAGCCCGCGGTTTGATCAAATATGACATGACCAACTCAAACGAACCTGACACTTCTATAGAAAATAATGTTATTTAATATTTAAGAACAATATCTCGATAATAAATTCAGATTAATAGTTAAAACAACAATTCGGGCTCTTATATTTTGTTTTCTTAATGGATAAGTTCGTATCTATTTCATTTACATAAAATATTAGAAAGATTTAACTGGTTTTTAACGGTGGCGTTAAGAGTAGTTTAAATTATACAAAGCATATTGTCGTTTTTGAATGATGAAAATACATATTTTTTTTACGCATAACTTTGCTACAACAATATTTTTTTACGCTATATTTTTTAAATCTCTAAAAAACATCAGTTCTATTCTATTTGAAACATTACGCGTTACAGCCAAAGCCCAAATGAGCCGGCCTATTGTTATCGGAGATGCCTCCCAGCCGAGTCGTGAGTTATTACCGTTATTATTATTATTATTATTATTACTATCACCGTCGTGTCTTATCGTCGGAATTATACTTTCGCGCTCGGCCGAAATGTAATTGGATCTTAGGTAACGCGATTAAGCGCGCCGGCCGGAGAGACTTGACGGACCATAAAAGCTTCGGAACGGCTAAACAAGTCGAGTGGGATACGGCGCAGAGCGGACGCAGTAACAAAAGACATTCTAAGGAAACTCAAAACCGTGTAACGAGGAGGCAAATGCCGGTGGCAAGTCGGACAATGAAAGTTTCCACCGCGACCGACGATGCCGGAATGAGCCCCGCAGCACCGATAAGCCCCCCCTCGTGCACCTCCCCACTTCTGGTGTCGGTTCGACCGGAGTTTCGAGCCCCGCTTTCCGAATTCGGGGCATGACCGCCGTCGATATAGAGTGATATTATTATTATTATTATGATTTGCCAAGATAACCGACCGTCATATGCAGATTCCGCTTCCGAGTACGTCGACCTGCTCTCAGCCTAACCCCGCACGTGACCAATTAGGTTCACAGACTCGGAGACGGGGATGAGAATATCCACGTCGACCAAAATAATGAAACTAAACGGAAACACCCAATTACTGCGGAATCCGGCGAACGTCACCACACACATAGAAAATCCTGTACTTAGGCTCTTGTGTTACGTCCGAGCCATTTATTTCGTTGCACACCAACGGCTGCAGCGGTGTCGAGTAATAGGGCTACCCAATTAGACGGTTGAAACCTTGTCCGTGCACATATATACATACATAGGCCGAAGTTGCTGAAATGTACACGGCTAATGAAATTGGATGTGCTTGCCATTTGGTTGTCGTTAATTTCGATTTACTCCAAGGCCACCGACAAACAATTCAAACGAATAAATTTTACTGTTATAATTGTACTTGTAAAGTACAAGATCGATAATAGATAGTGGATGGCGTGCCGGGAGAGCAACAGGTCCCCGAAAACAGCGGTACCAACATTAATGCAGTATAATGATTTTAATTTTCCGTCGCGTTTGTTGTAAACTTTGTAAATTAAAAAATTAATAAATGAGAGTACACTGTACGAATCTGAAAATTAAAACTAGGTGTCCAAGTTATTAAAATTAAAATATTATTGCAACTTTTATAGATTTATAATTTTCAAGTGGTTCTGGTACTGGAATGAATGATTATTGTTTTATTACATTAATTTCTTGTTTATACAAAAAAAACTATTCTAATAGAGCCCAGCCTGAGTGTAGGTTATCAAATGGGTCATTTCACTGAACGCGCACACGGGTTGAAATATGTCTCGGCAGCCATGTTGTTTACAATTTCATGGAAAATAAAAATGCTACGTTACTTTTCCATGGTAAATATTAAAATGTTATGTCTAAAATTAAAATTGGCCAATTTAAAACAGTGATATATTTGACAAGCTAAGTTCAGTGATGATAACACAATAATATACATTTGAAAAATCACGGAACAAACGATAAGTGTACAGCTCTGGATATGGCGGCAATGCGCACATATTCCATACCTATATCGAATTCAGTGGTTATTTCACTTGATTCC